GAACCTGAGAAACACACAGGGAGTGCTCAAGGTCCATTAAACTAAAGTTGCTACAGAGAAATATCTTAGCTGATATTTTTAGTGCCAAACAGCTTTGAATCTGCTTATAATTTTTTTCAATGGCTCTACAGGATACCCAGCTACACTTGGACGATGCTCTAAGGACACAGGAGGACCTGAAGGAGCAGGTGGCCATGGTGGAGCGCAGAGCAAACCTGCTGCAGGCTGAAATTGAGGAGCTACGGGCAGCACTAGAACAAACAGAGAGGTGTAGAAAGGTGGCTGAGCAGGAACTGATGGATACAAGTGAGCGAGTGCAGCTGCTCCATACCCAGGTGAGGTCACTTGGTGAGAAATGGCACTCTTGGTAAGTAGGACAATGCTTGTATGCTTAATTCCAGTTACCATTGCAGGCTCGACTTCAAAGACAAGAGTTTTCTTGTCTGAAGTAATCATCATGATACTAAAAGCGATCTTTGCTGAAATAGTGTGTACAATGGCTGTGTTCCCAGCTTGCATTCAATGAAACCGATGCTTCTTCTCATGCATCTTAACATAATCTCCAGAGGAAAGATACTTAGTTACAGGGATCAGATTTTTCAGTCACACATGCCAAATGGTCTGCCATGTGAGTAGTCAGGCACTGAAACTCTGAGACAACAGCAACATTCATTCTTTGCTCAGTTGGAATGTAGCACTATGAAATCCTCATATTCCTTCAAAATGTGCTTGTCCACTCTAGCAAAAAAGTGGAGATGAACTCCTGATGTAGCCCAGGTCAAGTAGACTTTGACAAGAGCTACATGTCATAACAGTTATCCAGCAGTTAAGTGCTGAAATCTATAGAAAGTGTTTGGTTTCAAATGCTGAAAAGATTCTGGAAGGAATCCATCCTATCCAGATTACAAATTTTTCTCTTTTCAGTTGATGAGAGTGGATTACTCTTCCCTAATTATGTTGAAGAGAAAGCATTTCACTCACTTCCCTCACTCTATTTTTTTTCCATTTTTTTCCTGTGCCAGCCTGTGTGGATGAGATGTGGCACAGATTATATTTCTAAGTACTCTTTTTCAAATTAATAAAATTAATTGTTGTAGAAAAAACAAAGCATTGTTCCCCAGTGATAAGAAATTTTACAGAAAAATCTGTGGTATTGATTTTTCACATAATTATGTCTGAAATGATGTCAAATCCTGTAACGTTCTTGATTTGAAAAAATGAGCTAACAAAAAGAAACCTCTGATGCTTCTCAACAGAACACCAGCTTGATCAACACCAAGAAGAAGCTGGAAACAGACATTGCCCAAATTCAAAGTGAAATGGAGGATACGATCCAGGAAGCCCGCAATGCTGAAGAGAAGGCCAAGAAGGCCATCACAGATGTGAGTTGGAAGCTTCTTCCATTACTGATGGTGGGTGTATTCTCCCCCAAAATGTCTGCAGCCCCAAAATGGCTTTGACCCTTTGCTCTCATCAGGCAGCCATGATGGCAGAAGAGCTGAAGAAGGAGCAGGACACCAGCGCCCACCTGGAGAGGATGAAGAAGAACCTGGACCAGACCGTGAAGGACCTGCAGCACCGTCTGGATGAGGCTGAGCAGTTGGCACTGAAGGGAGGCAAGAAGCAAATCCAGAAGCTGGAAGCAAGAGTGCGTAGGGCTGCTATTTGTGCATGAGTGAACATGTCACATAAGCAGCCAGCAGAGAAGCTCCAAAGATGGGCTTTTCATTGCAGGTGCGGGAGCTGGAAGGGGAGGTTGATGCTGAGCAGAAGCGCAGCGCTGAAGCCGTGAAGGGTGTGCGCAAGTACGAGAGGAGGGTGAAGGAACTGACCTACCAGGTAAGGCAGGAGGCCTCCTTGGGCTGACACACCCTTCTTGCAGGAAACCAAAATGTAACCGTTAGGGATTTCTTTCTGTCCTGAGTCACACAGTTAAAAGCGAGAAGACTGAGAGCATCAGAAGAAATTATCTTTCTGGTCTTGTTAGGAATATCCAGCTTATCATCACCTCTGTCTTACTGGACAGCAATGGTCTATAATCTGTTTCATATAGAGGGCACTTAAAGAGGAGGGGCAAAGAGGTGCTTCTATTTCTTGTCCTTCTCTTTAGTCTGAAGAAGACAGGAAGAACGTTCTCAGGCTCCAGGACCTGGTGGACAAGCTTCAAATGAAAGTGAAATCGTACAAGAGACAAGCTGAGGAGGCTGTAAGTATTACTGTGTGCAGAGTCAGTCTCCATCCAGGTGGAGGTGGAATTCTGTGTTCATGTTTTCCTCTGCGTAGCTATGTTCGAACCCTTAACTTTTTTTCTCACTGTGCACTCAGGAATGCACAGCTGAACAGTTGTTCTGTCTGAACAGCTCAGGGGTCTAGAGGGATGTCGAATACATTTTTTGTGAGCATTATTGCATCACTGGGAAAAGCAGTGAAGGTTCAGGTCAACATTGTGGGAGTAGACAGCCACACAGGCTTAACTTCTACAAGAAACCCCCACATCTGCTTTCTTTCACTTTCTTTATTTCATATTTCTGCCTAGGAGAAAAAAAAATTACCTTCAAAAATTGTAATACATAATTTTATAGCAGTAAATAAATTGAAAATGATTTAATGGAAGTAACTGTAATTATATATAATCAATCAAAAATTACAAAGTGCATTAGCAATTCATATCCAGAGAGGATTCCTGGTATAGCTTATTAACCATCTAAACTTTTATCATTTAAGCTATTTCTTTGGATTCTCCCTAGAAGTATTAGAAAGAATTACATACTAACTCACAGTCTTCTTGGTTTTTTTTCATGATGTAAGGGCAAAATACCACAGCATGTCCAGTGTGGTGTTACAGTAGAAACATTATTAAACATTTTAAAACCTCTTTTATCTCTCTTCCTATCCCCAGGAGGAGCTGGCCAATGTCAATCTCACAAAGTTTCGCAAGATCCAGCACGAGCTGGAGGAAGCCGAGGAGCGGGCTGACATTGCAGAGTCGCAGATCAACAAGCTCCGAGCAAAGAGCCGTGAAATCGGCAAGAAGGCAGAAAGTGAAGAGTAAATGCCTCCAGTGGTGCGAAATGAAAGAGAATTGCACAAAATGTGAAATTCTATCGCTTTGTTTTTGTAATCACTGCTTAGTCCTTCATCAATCTCTAGATAATTAATGCCTAGATAATAAAAATTGTAGAGATTTTCCCATGGAAATAATGAGAAGTTTACTGTTGTATTTTAATCATTATCCTGAATTCTTATAAGGTTCACATTTTTCCTTACTTACTTAAATTCATTCCATTAAAAGTCTTGCTTCAGGTATTTTGAAAGTGTTTCAGCCACTGTTAAAGTGGTCTAATCAGATATCCTGCTTCTCACCACAGAATTTCATCTAAGACTTCCTTAAGGGAGAAAATCATTATTTCTTTGCAACAGAATGTAATTATCCCTTACAAATTCTGCTTTAGGAAAACAATAGATTTTAACTCAAAGGTTCTGCCCAAAGAATAAGAATGTATTGCTTCTTCCAGTAATCCAGTCTAATCATTGATTATTCTATTAAATCATGTGTCTTATTTCAAGAAGATCTTTTTTCAGGTTAAACTTCTTCAGTCCTTCAAGCCACTTTGAAACACAGGGGACATTTAAACCTAAAATGAGATCTACTTTTAACTTTGGTTCATGAAAGTGATGTGCAAACCAACATTCCAAGGGCAGCACAACCAGCTACCTCATATAGTCGTCCACTGTTTATATTCTGTTCCCCAAAGTCTGCTGAATCTTCTAAGCGGGTCAGGCAGCCACTTAGCTCCTATGTATTCCCCAGGATAATTCAGAGAACTTTGCCTAGGTTGGCCTCACTCAAAATGTGGGTTTTCATTCTTTGTAGGTATCAGGATACATCAGAGAATCCATGGTCACCTCTTTGAAAACAAGGTGAAATAGGTGCCACTTTCTCTGTCATAACCCAGTACTTAGAGCACTTGTCCTTCCGCAGTCTGAAGGAATTTTTTTTCTCAGGATTGTGTCATATTCCACCTGGAAATAAGATAATTGGAGAAGCCAAATCAACCATTCCTATTGAAAATGTCCTGCTATGTCTTCAGGAATAAAAAATAATTATCTACAATGAAAAATGTCAAAACATTCTCTGTAGGATAATAGAGAAAATACTCATCTGGGAAAAGGATGTCTGCATTCCATGGAGGATCAAGGAGCCAGTGAGTGCTGGGAGTTCTTCAAGAATGTTCTCTTGGAAGCACAAAATCAGTTTATCCCCTATAAAAGAAAGGGAAGTAAGCGGAGCAAGAGGCCCCCTTGGCTCAAACATGAGCTCCTGGGTCTGCTTAAAACCAAAAGGCATGCGTACCAGAGATGGAGAAGTGGAAGATTGTCCACTGAGAACTACAAGGGCATTGCCAGAGTGTGCAGAGATGCAGTTAGAAAGGCAAAAGCTCAACTTGAATTTAAACTGGCTAGAGACGTCAAAAATAACAAGAAAGGGTTCTTCCGGTATGTCAGTTGCAAGCAGAAACAGAAGGAAAACATAGGCCCACTGTTAAACACTAGAGGTGAATCAGTCACCAACAATGCTGAAAAGGCAGAGGTTCTCAACACCGTCTTCACCTCTGTCTTTACCAACACTGTTGGATCCCAGGAGTTGGGAATGAAAATCCAGGAGGATCCAAACATAGACCCACCATCAGTGA